GGAGGCCCTGGAAATGAAGAAAGAGAAGGAACAGAAGGATGTGGTTGGAGGCCCATAAAGGTTTTTCTGACAACCTCTCTCTTTTAACTTGATGTGTCATATTTTCTTGCAAAGCAGTTCCTCCTCCGGGAGGAGAAATTCTTTTCAGGCTGAAATTGTGGGGCACTTATTATCAGTAAAACTTTCTTTATGGCCACCTGATGTGCCCCTGGTGAAGAGCTGGAAGAGACTGAGGGCTGACTCAGCTCCAGAGAATGCCACAGCTGGTATGCTCAAACCACTGCTCTTCTGTATTCTGCATTTAAAGGAGCACTAAGATTCTCAGCAGGTGTCAGAATTGTGTTTTAGTGGGTCAGTTGATCAACCTCTCACTTTCTGGTGCTTAAACCAATCTCAGGATCAGTCTATGGAGGAGTAAATCAGAGCGTATATAGGATACAGATCACTTGCAATTGTATCTGTAGCAGAAGAGAAGCAGCACAGGCCTCTGTTTCTGCACTGGTCTATGTGACAGAGGGATCTGTCTGGATTTCTGACTTCTAAAATGTATCATTTGGTTGAGAGATTTGCCTTCTATTACCAAGCAGCTCAAGGAATTGTCCCACATAGAGGCACAATGACCTCCTTAGGATGAAGTGTTTCCTTTTGCAGTCTACTCAGATGTGAGAACACATTTTTTACTGTGGCAGTGCTGCCTCCTCAAATCAGAGAAATCCCTGATCCAGGTGGTTGTTCTCCAGATAGGCAGAACTGCATCAGTCTGCTTGAAAGAATTTCCCTGCTTCATTTTGCAGGTTGTGCCAGCCAGTGCTCCAGAACTATCAGAAAGATAGTGAAGTAAATAAAGGCTGCTGCTGTAGTATTTTCCTTGGAAACTTTTATATCTGGCTGTTCTGAAGTCACTGGGGCTGTGTGATTAGGGCAAATGGGAATTGGTTTTCTAGATATGCTTGTAAGCTGCATGTTTTCCAAGTTTGTTTAACTGCATTAAACCCTCTAAATATTTACATGTTCTAAAGAATAAACTTAATAGCACCTTAAGCTGAATTCTGGGCTTATTTAATATGAGCAAAGGTAATATTGGTAAATAAAGAAGGTAGTTTAACAGATTTAGTAGGATCAAGATGGCACAAGTAGTTGTTCTTGGGTGATTCATATTTTTAAAATTTAGCCTTTTTTAATTGCCTTCTTAGTCTCTATCATCATCTAATGTATGCTGAGATTGCAAGTTCCTGGTCTGTGCTATTTGTAAGTGGCAGGGCTTTACTAGAAGAAGAAAAAACCTCAGCTGCTGGTGCTGTGGAAGTCTTCCAATAAGAAGAAATGCCTGGATTGCAAAATGGAAACACAGTTGAACCTGTAGATGCAGAATTCTGACTTACAGTTGTATTTTCTCATGACTTGGGTGCAGCACTTGGCATTCTGTCCTCTCCCTTAGGATACCAGACTATGGTCATAGTTTTTGCATTAATGAAATTTGGGGGGGAGGGGGGTGGCACACAAAGACTGGTGCATCTTCAGATACAACCACAAAGGAACATTTCTGGAGTCCACTTTAAAGGAAAGCAGGCACTGAGTCACCGGGATGTGTTTGCATTTGTGTAGCTCTTGTAGCTGCCCAGAGCTGTGCCCTCACAAGGCTTGAGCTGCTGGAAGCTCCTGGGTGCTCTGGGAACAATCTTAAGGCAAATGCCACTCTTCCTTTTGACATTTTAACAGTCTGGGGAATGCAGTGGGTGTTGGGGGGAATAATCCAGCTGGCACAGCACTGGATCAGAGGCTGCTTGTGAAAGTAATCAGGCACTTCTGCGTTGGGAAATGTAGTGAATGATAACATCAGTAAATGTTTCCGTGATATTTCTTGTAAATAGTGTTTTGTTAAGTCCTGTTTAAATAGACTTAATGAATTGGAGGCTCTCACTCATCCCACAGAAATCAAAGCCTTTGTAGGAATGTGCCTCCTGCTGTCAATAAATGCATATTCAGGTCTCATTTTGGAGTGATGGTACTGAAGTTAGGAATTACAGGCAGTTCTTAGGAGTATTTCATGTGTGCAAGTTTACTCCATAGTTTTGGGGCAAGATTTGTGTTTTCTAGTTCAGATTTCTGACAGTCTGCCTGTTATGAGTATATTTTGTGTTCAGTGCAGCCTTGGATTGTAGGGACTGCACTCTAAGCAGGGTGGCACCTGATCAGCTGTGGGGAATTTTCCCTGTTCTTTTGAAGTGGCTACAAATGAAGCAGATATTTGCTACAACAAATAAAGAGAAATGTTGAATTTTTTCGCTGTGGCTCAGAGGGGCCAGAGAGGTTTGTAATGCCCACAGAATATTAGCCCTGCAGCAGTGATGCTCTGGGTGCTTTGGGTCAGTGTTTCAGTGCAGGGAAGTACCAGACATTAGCACCATACATTTATTATCTCCTTTTTTAAAATAAGGCCTAGAAAACATACAGAGTTTGCCTCTTTTGATGTAATAATTGTTTTTTAGCTTAAAATTCATCGGCAGAGTTTAGAAATGTACTTTTAAGCTGGCAGCTTGTATAACAATTTTAGTAATTAATTCTAGGACATGGGGTTTTTAGGAATGTCAAGTATTGCAAGACGTGGGAATAAACGTCAAGAACTGGCAGTGCTGCACAGAGCACAGGGCTCTGATTTGGATCCTTGTTGCAGCTTGTAGTAGTTAGTACTTGACAGAGCCAAACCTCACATGACCACCTCTGCATCAGCCTTAGACCTCAGTTGTTGCTGAGATTTGATGAAGAGTGGGATGATAATAAGCAGCTGAGGGTGGGGGACTGGAAGAATAATTACAATTATGAATTTCTCAGGCACTGACTTAAGGCTGTAGTAGCAGGTACTACAGTGTAGTGTGTACTTGCGTGCTGGCTGGAACTGTTATGATTTGGGTCATTAAAAGATCATTTTGGGGATATTTGTTTGAATTTTGAAATCAGTTGGGGATATTTGGATTCTTAGAGGGGCCACCTACGAGTCTTGGCTGGTCTTTGGTGTGTTTTATTGAGCGGTGTGGTGGAAGGTGCAGATGTGGTCACAGGAATCTCTCCTGTGTCAACAGAAGTGGTTAAAATACAAAAGGGTTTGAAGTGGTTATTAGTCTTTCCTAAATTAATACGATTATAAAAGATTAAGAGTGTCATAAGATAGCAGAGAATCTGTTCTTTTGTCAAGATTCTTCTTTCCCTGTGCATTCCTGAGCTGTAGTATAACTTGTTTCAAGAGGGCAGGTCCCTTTGTTATCTGTGTACACATCCATATCTGCACACACACAAGAAGCCAGTTTGCAGCATTTGCTTGGAATGAAGTATTGCAACAGCCATGGAATTGCTTTATCAGTGGAAAAAATGTGATTGCATGGAAATAAACTTCTAATAAAGTTCCACTTGGCACTTCTAACTCTTGAAGAACAAGAGCTAAACTAGGACAGACATAACTCATCTGGGGGGAATACAGGGGCAGGCACTTACAGGATGAGACAGTAGTACTGGAGTGGGACAGGAGTGTCTTCCTTACAGGAGACAGAAACAAGCATCAGAAAACTAAGAAATTGGATTGTTTTCCTTCTGCCCTGGCCTATTTGGACTTTGGAGTCCTTGGTGAATGGGCAGATGTTGTATGACTGAAATTTGCAGTTGAATTGTTATTCAGGAACTTCTCTGCTTTAGACCACTGTTGAATGAATAATCTACCTTTTTATCTGTAGAGCCTTTCTGAGCACAGCTGATAACTTTATAGAGAAATGTCTTGCACTGAAAATCCATTTCCCTACCCCCACATTTCTTCTGAAAGCTTTATAATCTCAGCATTCAAAATGATAGACTTTTTTGGCTGAGCTAAGAATGATTTTCTAAATCCTGGATTAACCAGCAATCCAGCAGTTTGTGTGCTTCTCTGGTAGTAGGTGCTTCAGTTTGTTGGTTTTGGGTTTTGCTGGTTTGGGGGTTTTGTGTTCTGTTTGTTTGTTTTGTGGGGGCTTTTGTTTGTTTTTTGATCTGTCTCTTTCTTAGTCCTGAGTTGGGAGTGAGTGCCCCAATTTGAGACAACTCCTTCCCTTCTGATCAATTTTTGAGTCTTGGTGGGCAAATAGGGTGAAGGAAGACTTGGGTCTCAATTTCCAGCCTTCTGGCCTGCACTCAGCTGCTAACTCTTTGGAGTTGGGAAGGAAATTTAGCTGGAAAAAACAGGGGAGAGGTTTTTCTCCTTTGCCAACTGTGCTCTTGCTATGCTGTTCTTGAGCTGCTCCAGCATTCAGCATGAGTGGTCTTGATATCAAGCATGGTACGGAAACCAGGGATTCCCAGGGACTCTAGAAGACATTAGGGTCATTGTTTGTGTGTGTGTGTGTGTCCCATCTTTATTTAGAAAGTACACACAGTGTATTTAATTTCTCTTTAATTCAGTTTTAGTAGACTACCCTGAGTGGTAACTGTAAGTTCTATTAGTAGCAGAGATGATGAACTGAAGAGAAAAGCTTGTGCTCTGTACCCTCTTCCAGCACTGTTTTAAACCATATTTGGAAAAAACCAAGACTTTTATTCCAAAAACCTGTTAACAAGTCTGTTTATTAGATCCAGTAGTTTGTTTTTAAAATAAAATGAAAGATAAAGTAATCAAACTAATCTCTTGTGCTGTGAAGGAATGACTTTCCCTCAGTACTGCTGCTCAGAGGAAATGCTAGTGAGTATATTATTGCTTGTGTTTCATCATGGGTTATCAGCACCACTTCTGAGCTGGCTTTTGATATGCTATATCTTCCAGCTAGTAAGGATAATAGAAATGGTCTAGGAGATGAAGTGAGTGTAAATATTTTGTAGCTACCTGTTTAAAATAAATAAAAATTGGCAAGTTTCTTGGTACGCAGTTGATCTTCACCTGTAACAGAACAGGTAGAGGTAAAATGTGTTAAATGAGGTAGCTTGATGCAGATTGGCTCAGTCACCAGCTAAAACGAATTGTGTTTTGTTTTGTGTGCCCTCAGGAGTTGTGGAAGGTGATTTATCTGCTGTGGAAGCCTACAAGTCCTCAGGGGGGGATATTGCCCGGCAGCTCTCGGCGGATGAGGTGCGGCTGCTGAACCGCCCGTCTGCCTTCGACGTGGGATACACGCTGGTCCACCTGGCCATCCGCTTCCAGAGGCAGGACATGCTGGCCATCCTCCTCACAGAGGTGAGTCCCTTTGGCCTCTGAACACGTTGAACAGGCACTTTGTAACTTCATCTTTGTGTGCAGCCAGTGACATGTAGCTTTTACTTTTGATACTGTTAAAATACACAAGTTCTGTGGCTTGGATTTCTCCTTAAGAAGTGAGTTTACTTGAAGGCTGTATGCTGTGGTGGTGCTGAGGATGTTCAGTGTGCTCATTAATGAGCAATCTTGGCACAGGCTCTGACCTTACTGGCAGTGGAAGTGAGCTATTGTGAGGCTTCCTGAGCTCTGGGTGGGGGAGAGGAAATGCTCGGAAAGCAAAACACTGACATCAATGACAGTGTAGTTTTTCTGAGTTTGTTAATGAGTAAGTCTACCTGGTCTCCCTTTCCTGGTTTTCATGGGAGCTTCTCTTCCAGAGAAAGGCAAATTTCTTGCTTTGCAAAATGGCTGCATTTTTTTGCATTTTTTCCCATTCTTTGCCCATTTCATAGGCAGTTTGGTTCCTCCCTGTGGTCTTGCTCTTTGTAAATTTTTGTACAATCCACCTCACAGTGATCTCTCCATCTTTGCCCTCTTAGTTGGCTTCTAAATAATTATCTTTTATGGTCTGTTTTCTTCAACTCAGACTTTTGGTTCCTCACCTGATCATAGCCAGATTTTTATTCTGCCTCCTTTCCTGATGCTTAATGCAGTTCTGAAAGCTGATGTTCCTGAGAAAAGTAGCGTGCCCACATAATGATGATGGAATGCTCAGCACTGAGTAATTAAAAAGAGCAGATGAAGCAAGACAAATGTAGCTAAAGCCTTGAGTATATATTTATATACAGCTAATATCAGTGGTTTTGTGCTGCTTACATAACTCTGTATGGATGGAGTTATGTGTTTAAAGCCAAATTAATTTGCTGAAACACTGTCCTACAGATTTTTCTGTTTGGTTTTGTTTCAGTGCCTAGACATACTGACTTCAAAATACCATTTGTGAGAATGCTTAGTAGACTTTGAGGCCCAGGGATACTTTCCTTTGCTAGGATATGAACGAGTGAAAATGGGGGTCTTAGAGGTGGTTTTTTAATATGCATCTGGTGGCATCTCTGTATCACTTGCCCTGATTCATTGAATACGTTTCTGCTGCAAGTGGTAACTAGAATCTGGAGAAATTTAAATGTCCTAACTTGATAGTTTTGGGGAAGATTCTTTGTAGGAAACTGTCTTCTGCTGTGGTGGTGAAGTTCTTTGTTAAATGTAGACAGAGCTCATGCATGAGATTTGAGATTTATATTATTACGAGCTCTGGAAGATCACCTCTTAATTCACTTCTTTGATTTAAAGATGTTTTTAACCAGCTTTATGTTATCAGCTACACGACAAAACCAGACATTTCATTAAGAATCACTAAACTTTTAATCCTTCAGGATGCCAGTGTTTATACTTCTCTTGCATTCCTTGCTGACCAAACGCTGTCTGCTGGTGCTCGTCACTGCAAAGTCTTCATATTTACCTGGAGATAATCCTGAGTGCAGTAACTGTGTTGCTTTACAGGTATCCCAACACGCAGCCAAGTGCATTCCTGCCATGGTGTGTCCAGAGGTCACGGAACAAATCCGCCGTGAAATTGCTGCATCTCTTCACCAGCGAAAGGGAGACTTTGCTTGCTATTTCCTGACTGACCTCGTGACGTTTACGTTACCTGCAGGTACTTACAAAATTCCTCTTCCTGGTGGGACATGTTACTGCTTTGTCACCTGGTTGAGAATTGCTTGTTCTGGATGTATATTCTGACTTTTTTTGGTGGTGGGTTGTGTGTGTTTTATTTACTAAGTTTTAATGGCTTAGGTCAGATTTTTAGTGGTTGAATTTGCTTATTCAGTATTTGCACACTTCAATCCATACATTGTTCCTGTGAACTGAGCATCTGTTGTCCTATTTAGACATGAGGAAATGGAAAGAAAGTGGTGTATTCTAAGGAAAGGCTGTCTTTAAAGTGAAGATTGGAGCCCAGACATTTCTGGTCCCTAATACAACTTTTCCCATAGCTATTTTAGCTTTCAATCCTTTCTCTCGAGGCCCAGAGCTATTCTTTATATTTGTACTTGGTTGTAGCAGTACTATTTCTTGAATACTTTTGAGATATTCTACACTCAAGAGAATGTTTGTGTATTAACAAAAAGCTTTTAGAAAACTTTTAATCTTCAATAGCTGTTTCCTTTAATAGAAATGCTACCAGCAGTAAGAAAACCTGCAGGTGGAAACTGCTAATCAGCAGATTTGTTTGCCTTTTTATAAAGCATTGTAAGGATTGTATTTGGAGCCTCCTTGGCTGAGTGTTACCTCATCTCCTCTTCAAAAAGTCTGGATAGTATTTACCACTTGTGTACCACCTACCTGTTTGAGGTGCTGTATTCAGCTGTACTCTGTGGGTCACCTGTGAGAGGAAGATGGTGTGTGTATTAAGTGTCTGGAGACTAAACCTTCATTACAGTTTAGGGGAGAGAAGGAAAAGGGGCAACAGAATGATTTTGTAAAACATGAGAAATATTGTTCTTGCCAGAACTTAGGAATTTGCTCAGTATTTTTGAGAGACCCGTCTTAAAGCTCTGTGCAGCTTTTCGACATGTGTAATAACCATTAAATAATTAAGGAATAAGAATGTTCTAAAGCTTTTGTACATCAGGACTGTCAGTGTATTTCCACCTTCTTCACACTTTGTCAAGTGAAGATCTTCTGTAGTCAGCAGTTGGGCTCAAGAGAGCACTTCCAAGGGTGGAGGGATAAATCACACAAGTTTAGGAACTGGTTTCCACTCGACCTTTCAGATAAACAGATCAGATCCTCCCAAAAAGCCAGTGCATGGATGTCAAAGTGCAAAGCTTTTAAATGGATTGCTGGCCAATGTAAGGCAGTTTTAGTTTAAAAAGCCTCAATCAATCATACAAAAAAAAAAAAAAGACCACCCCAAATCACCCTGCCTGCACCAAACAATAATGTGCTTCAGTAACAACTCATGTGCCTAAATGTGGACTTTCAGAAGCCCTGGGGTATTGGACATCTGAGCAGGACTGGCAAATACTACACTGCAATTAAGAGAGACCTTTGTGCCCTTGACACACCACTTAGGTCCCAGTCCTTATCCCCTAGAGTGCCTGAAGGGATGCTAGGTGTTCCTATTTGACTATTTTATTTACTTTCTTAACTTTCATGTATTTAAGTTTCATGATTATGCTGAAGCCAGCAAAGTTTCTTTAGTTGCTGCTCTGCCTGACAACCCTTTACTGCTTATCCTTACTCAGGCCAGGAGCAAATCTTTATGATGTAGAATATATGTTTGAGTTTTAGAGTGTGTGACAGTGTTTGTTTTAAAGGATACAGAAATCACAAGAGATTTTTGCCTATTATACAACGTTTTGCCCCTTTTTTCCCCCTGTTGTTTTTTAAGAAGTAGATCCATAGTTGCAGATTCTGTCTGTAAAGCTCTTGTAAGAGTTGTCAGTACTGGCATTTTCCATGTCATAGCTCAGTAGTTTTCCCACTTCTTGTTTTTTGGCTTGCAAGCTGTGGCCTGCAAACCATTGGGGTTCTCTGAACTATTTGATTGAAGTCTGCATGAAATGACTAAGGAAGTGGATGTTCTGGACAAGAACAAGTCTCTTGGCAAACTGTACCTGGGATAGACTGGAGGGGGGGAAGCCATTCAGATGAGTATAAAGCTGTTGCTTAGGATTGAAGCTGTGCTAAATACAGTAAGGGTTGAAGATAGAAGTAACTCTTTTTTTTTAAATTTCTCACGTCAAAGTGATTGTAGTCTTTCCCCTTCAGAGAAATCCATTCTTCCCCTACGTGTGCTGGGATGATCCTTTCTGCATCAAAGGTATGACAGGGAGGCTGAGATGAAAACCTGCCTCAGCAGCTCTGGGAAACCTTCAGTCAGAAATGACAGATCTGAAAGGAACAGCAGCTTTCCAGAGGAGATGTCAGGGCTGATAGGGGGAAAGCTGTTGTGTGAGTTGTGTAAGTTCTCCTGAGCAGCAGCCAGTGTTGTGTCTCTTTTACAGTAACATAAAGTGACTCTTGTGTTTGCTTTCTGTTTTTCCAGATATTGAAGACTTACCACCCACAGTCCAGGAGAAGTTATTTGATGAAGTACTTGATAGAGATGTTCAGAAAGGTAAATGCACCAAGAATGGCTGGAATCTCTCCTTGCTTTTCATTAGAGAATGTTTCTGTTATTCAAAATAAAGTACATGTGTGTGTATATATGTGACTTTATCCATCAGTGTGTTTTAAATATAGGTTAGATGCTTTCAAATTAATCTTCACCCTGGAATTCATAGAATCACAGAATGGTTGTTGAAAGGGATCTTAAAGATCATCTCATCCATGAGTAGGGAAACATTCCACTATCCCAGGTTGCTCCAAGCCCTGTCCAACCTGGCCTTGGACACTTCCAGGGATGGGGCAGCCACAGCTTCTCTGGGCAACCTGTGCCAGGGCCTCACCACCCTCACAGGGAAGAATTTCTTCCCAGTATCCCATCTAACCCTATCCTCTGGCAGTGGGAAGCCATTCCCCCTTTTCCTGTCACTGCATGCCCACGTGAAAGTAATTTAAATTTAACATTTCCAGTCTATTTATGAGGCAGAGGGAGAATGGAGTCTGTAGAAATCATGTTTATAGTGTATCTTTGTAGAGCTTTAAAAAAATGTAAAATTCAGTGTTAAGTCACAAGCTTTTTAAAGAAAACTGAACAAATCTTTCCATTTCAATAACAATCCTCAAACAGAGGATGTGATGATTTGTTTAAGCCTATGGTCTGGTTTGGGTTTTTTTTGTGACACTATTTCACTTCATCCAGTGTAGTTCACCTGTTTATTGTAGTGTGAAGGAAACCTCAGTTTTATTCATGCAAACGGATAAATTATTGAGTCTGTGCCACTGCTGTGCTGTTGGGGTACTCCGAGACATCCAGTTAAAGGTTTTAAGAGCTGACTGTCGTGTTGCAGAGCTGGAAGAGGAGTCTCCCATCATTAACTGGTCCCTGGAGCTGGGCACGCGCTTGGACAGCCGGTTATACGCACTTTGGAATCGCACTGCCGGGGATTGCCTGCTCGACTCGGTGCTCCAGGCCACCTGGGGCATCTACGACAAGGACTCTGTGCTGCGCAAGGCTCTGCACGACAGTTTGCACGACTGCTCCCACTGGTGAGTTGGTTTGATGGCAGCTTTTTTTTTTCCCATCTTTTTTCCCGTTTTTGAAAAAGCAACACAACCGCCGCTCCCCGATGCCCTGCGGTTCCGGTTCCCTTTTGCACCTCGAAGATGTCAAGTCACTGGGAGTCCAGTTCTACTCCAGATCCCGTATCTTAAATAGGAGCACTGGGAACTGGGACATTCTGAACTCAGTGATGGTATGTGATAGTCAGCAAGTGGCATTTAGAGCAGTAAAATAATTTTATACTGTCAGGCGTGCGCTGACCACAGTTATTACAGCTGGAATTTCTGTGTACTTGCAATGTAAATCATGCACATGCCATGCCTGGCTGCTTGGTGGGAGCTTTGCAGAAGATTGTTAGTAGAAGATAGCCTTTTATTCCTTGTAAACTTTGCAGTATTTTCATTCCATCTGCTTAGTTACAGCTTGATTTGGGATTGCTCTTTTTGTCCCTGTTCTGTCTGCTAAAAGAGGGGCAGTAAAGCACACAGTGTTGAAATTTAACTAGGGCTGTCATTTGGCCATAAAATTTAATTTATCATTCTGTAAAACAACTTTTGTTGGTTTACACTGGCAACCTTCTTTAGTCTGATGTAGTTTGCCTCTCCTAGAGGCAGAATCCTTCCACTTGGACAACTGGTGGTGTGTCATGGACTGAGGGAAGAGCTGACAGAGACTGATAACGCCAGTCACAGGCAGTCATTTCTTTTATATTCTTGTAATCAAGGACAAGAGAAACTGTCAGCATGTGCTAGAGAAAGAGCTTGGCCCTTCCTCTATGTGCTGTACAGGAAGTCAACAACAAAGGTTAATTTTAATAGTACCTATAAGTAGCTTTTGTGATCACTGTCCCCAGCTGCTATTTGGAGAAAACTCCCCAAATTAGCATCCAGAGCTGGATTCAGTAAAGTCGTGCTTCAGCAGCAATTCTCCCAAGATCCTCCCTCTGAAAGGATCTGTCACTGCTTTAGAGTTGTTTATAGTGGACTCTGCATCTCGACCATGCAGGAATGTCCCTGGCATCACAAGTAGTTCCCTTGAGGCCAGAACAGAAATTTATGATACATCAGGTTTTGTTCTTTATGGTAACAAAATCCAGAAACGTGCTGCAAACTACTGGGCTTGGAACCAGATCTCTCAAAATGTTGGTGCTAACTGTGGGTGACTTACTGCTGTATCTAACATAACACTTGTTATTTAGGGGCTGCTAAATCTTGCTAAGCTTTTTAGTTAATGTTCAAGACAGAATTTGCATTTTACTCTGAATTTACTTAATCTTCATCCTTATTAGAAGCATATTTTTTATCTGATTCATGTGTTCCTTACTAGGAACAAGTCTTTTGACTTTAAGAACAAGTCTTTAAAGAACAAGTCGTGTTCCTTTATAGGAACAGGTCTTTAGAACAAGTCTGTCAGCCAAATTCTGTTGTAAATTGATCATCCTGTACATCCTATACTTGCTGTATAGATTCTGTGTGTGAAGGTACAAATAGGAAGTAAAATCATCACTGGCTTTAATGAGAGTTGCTGAAGGAATAGGCTCTTAAATGCAATCCCTGATTAAACTTTTATCTAGTGGAATTATTCTTCAAAGCCTTCACAAAGACACTTTAAAATGGGTATTTTTATAGTCAGACACAGAACACTCATGTAACTCATTTGGCCTCATTTTGTTATGTTTGTTTAGATGCTGAACAAAGAAGAATCTATTTACCAGAGACACTCTTGTGTCTGGTACTCAGAAGAAGCTCAATAGTGAAGTTCCCAGAGGCTCTGGCCTGTGGAATCTTTTCCACTCACCTTTAAATAACTACACTTTTAGTTAACACAAAAGTGTGTTCTGATGTGTCCCTTTTTGTACTCCACCATTAGCTTTTGTTGGAGAGTGGGCCCATGCCCTAACTTGGCTTTCAGGGTTTTTTTTTTTTATGGATGTATTTTGTTCTCTTCTGTTATCCTGAAAAGTTTGTTGAAATGAGTTCAAGTGCTGTCTATGTCTGACTAGCTCAGGGAAGAAACTTCTCCAGGAAAACACTTTCACAGACAGTCTTTTAGGGAGTAATTTGTTTTTTTTTCTTTTTTTTCCCCCCTCTGTTTTTTTCTTTCTTCCCTTCTGTTTTCTGGGGTTTCTCTCTCACTGTGATGCTGGTGGGTTTTGTTTGGGTTTTTTGTTTGTTTGTTGTTTGTATTTGTGTTTTGATTTTTGGGTTTTGTTTGTTGGGTTTTTTGTTTTGTTTTCTTTTCCCTCAGAATCTGATTTAATTTCTTTCAGGGACCCTGGCAATTAATTCATTTAGCACAAGGTGCTCTGTTAGAGATTTCTGGGGGGAAACACAAAATACCTTATCAGCTGCAGAGATGGAAGCAGTTGGTGCATTTGGATAGAAAGTGGAATGTAGATCCAAAAGATTCCTTGTAGGATATATTACTGTGAATTAGCACAGACCTATCCAAATATCTTACTGATAGGAATTTTAAGCTATGTAAAGGTTTTAGCTGGACTCAGGAAAGCCTGGCTGGTGACTGTTCTACACACCAAGGTTTTAGGATGGTCACAGCTTCACTGAAGGCATAGGGAAGGTTTGATCCACACACTGTCTGTTAATTTTGTCAGATTTTAATTAAATGAGTTCATTTCAGTGACTTTTTTAATAAGCTGAACTTCAGAATGGTTTCTTTGTCTTCACAGTAAAGACCATTGTTTAAAAGTTGGCATAGCACTCTTCCCTAAACCTCTGTCCCTAATGTGAGGTTGTGGCTTTGCCATAGTACTGTGATGGGACTGAATTTAAAATTTGAGAAAGCCAACATCTGCTTTTTAATGTGTGGGTCATTTTTCACTGTAGATGATTAAGAAGAATAAAATATTGTGACTTAATTAAAAAAAAAAAATAAAAATACTATGACTTAAAACTTTCAGTGTAAATCATATTAATCCCACTTTCTACATTTGATTTTTATCCATGCTGCTTTATAACTCAATATAATGTGAAATTACCATAACCTTTGTTCCAAAAACTGGTAGAAAACAGATTCTGCATTTTAACCATGGCCTATTTGAAATCGATACAGGATTACTGTGTAGTTAATTGGCTTGTGATATGGTTAAAAATAGAGAATACCTATATTTTTTGTGTGAGAAGAATGAGCAGCTCCTCCTTTATGAAATGGAATGTCTTAATTATGTCCCCTGTACATCAGCACCAATAAGACTTTAAGAACAAACTATTCCAAGAAGTATCACACTATCCAGGAGCCTGGTAGGACCTTGGATCATGTTTGGCTGCAGGCATTGCAATACCAAGTGATTTCCTAAATGAGGATTTCCAAATGGAGTCTCCTGAAGATTAAAAACAAAACCAGTTTTCCTGACCTATGCTCTCTTTCTTCCCCCTTCTCGGGACAAAGGATAACAAGGGTTAAATATTGCTGTCAGGATTATGGTGGTTGAGTAAATATTTTTGCCTTTACCCCTCTTTCTCTCTGTCTTAACATTGTAGGTTCTACACACGCTGGAAAGAGTGGGAATCGTGGTATTCCCAAAGCTTCGGTTTACATTTCTCCTTGCGGGAGGAGCAGTGGCAGGAGGATTGGGCATTCATACTCTCCCTTGCCAGCCAGGTGAGACAACTCCTGTGAAAGAGGGCTGACAGAAGGGATATTTTAATTTCTGAAAAGCAATTTCATGAAACTGAGGTGTTTTTCAGGAATTAAGAATATTAATATATGAAGGAAAACATTGCTCTTAAGGCAGTGATCTCCAGGTATTACTGGGTAAACTCTTCTGCCAATGTGCAAAGATTCATTTCAAATTATAATTTTTGAGCTTGCTCTTAAGCAATACAAAAAAAAAGTCTTGTGGTGTCAGAGTGAAGTCTGTAGAATAAACTAATACACAACTGTCTGCCTTATGTCCTCCTCCAGCTCCTGCAGCACTTTTACCTCCCAAAACACACCTACAAATCTGTCATCTTACACTGCTGAAATTTCAGCAAGCTGTTATTTTATAACTCCCCTCCAAAATGAGATTTACATTCCTATAAGCTTCCAGCTGTAAGAATATTTTTAGCTCCTCTTTTAAAGTATAAACATGATTTTGATGCTAATTTCTTGAGCTTTGTTTTGGATGTGCCCTTTTCCTATCATCAAAAGGTATTTGCCTTAACCTGCCCCCAGATGAGTGAATTATTTTTAGACTGAGTATTATTTAGAGTTTCATTTCTAACTGGGGAATGAAGTAAGTTGGATTGCATCTGGGCAATAGGACAAAGGATTATTACTGACATATTAAGTTCTTGTGCAAGCTGAAATGTTTTTACTTATTTCCAAAAGTCTACCAGTCTTTGTTTTTCCTGTCCAAGCTGTATCACTCTTAAAAACACTTTCTATCTCAATTTGGAGACTGTTTTTTCAAATTTCCAAGTATGGAATGATAAGTTTTTTGTTTCAAGTGATGTCTTTCTTTGTGTTTGGTTCAGCCTGGAGCAAGTTTGGAGCAGACACACATTTTTGTACTTGCACATATTCTTAGAAGACCAATTATAGTTTATGGAGTAAAATATTACAAGAGTTTTCGAGGAGAAACATTAGGATATACCCGCTTTCAAGGTAAGCCTTTAGTTTTTCAAATTCAGTTTTAAAAAAGGTTCATCTGTAAACTTAAAGGAAGGGTGACATTAAGTTACTGTCTGGGAGAGGATGGAATTCTGTTGTAGGTAAATTTTCATTTGCTATTAAAAGGAAGAAAACAAACCCCTCAAAACTTGTAGTTTTTCATTTTAGTGGGCATGATGCCTGTGACCACAGAAAAAATGTATTCTGAGCTCCACTCAAAATACCTGTAGTCTGCAATTTATATGAAATATTCTGATTGTGAAAATTTATCAAAGGGTGTGTGGTTTGTACTTCTGCAAGACACAAGAGGTTTAATAAATGGAATTTGAAATGTGGCTGTAAATATTCATTTTAGAAACTGCAGAATTTAGCATTTCCTGGAGGAGGCTCGTAAAGGTGGGGGCAGAGGGTGTTGGCATTGGCCAGTTTTTCACTGGAGCGACAGCAGGATCTGCTGGGTGTCCTTTGGGAAAGGAGGGGCTGTGCCTTGTCACAGCAGCAGCCTGGGAGGGGGTTTCTGGAGCAGCCCTCAAGAGCAGTGACAAGTAGCCACCCCTAAAGCAAGAGACAAGGGCATTCAGAGACAGGAAGAGAGATTAAAGTATTGTGGAGATGATACAGTTGAGCTTTTTATTGTAATTGATTTAAAATAAAATAAGTGGCAGCTTGAATGTAGAGACCAAAAGGGAGGAATTCTGTTCATAAATGCTCTACCAGCAGTTACTGTGTGAGGTATAAGGTTAGGTAACTTAGTTACACTTACAAAATATTGGTCAACCAATAGTGTAAATCTCACTTTCTGCAAAAGTGAATTCCATGATGGCTTTAAAGGAAGTTTTAAAAGTTTATCTTTGCTTCAGTAATTCACACTTTACAGCAAGTGTGATGTAAATACTGACCTATTTCTCATTAGTACTACAATTTTCCATAGCTTGATCAGGTTCTTAATGACTTTTTCCTCTTCCCAGTCTGACTTTTTCTCCTCCTTGTCTTGTGGGCAAACAGCCTGACTGTCCTTAAGATAAATAAGATGTTCAGCTGACTCAGTCCAGCTTTGCTTAGAGATACATCTGGAAATTTCTAAAGATGTGTTTTCTGTTTTGCAGCCAAATCTGTGTTAGGGCAACTTTCCTCTCTACTGCATGCCTTAAAAATTTTATTATTCCAAGAATAAAACTTCAGAGGGGATTGGGAGCATCTGCACAGGCTCAGCAGTAAACAAAACCCGTGTGTAAAGAACTATCTGTGTTACAGGGGGTTGGGGCATTTGTTTTGCCCACGGTTCATCTTACTGGGCTCAAGTGTATCTGCTTGATCATGACCCACCATTTATTTATAACTTAATGGAGGACTTCCCAAAGCATCTCTTTTTGTCATTTAAAAAAAAAAAGTATGATAACTTTGGAAGGAGGCAAATGTATAGAAACCCCCAAGCTGTGGAGTTAATTTTAGAGTCTTTAGAAAACCTGAGAAGCTGTGTTGCTTCTGTGTTTGGGGCAGTAACACAACTTTATGCAGGGAAACGAAATACTTTTTTGAAGAGTCTAAAAGTTTGGTGCTCTTTGTAGTTACATGTTATCTTTTATTTGAGATGATGGAAGGCTGGGAAAGAACAGTTTTTCATGTCACATAGATCTGACATTTTGACTCCAAGGCTCTGTGGTTTGTAAATGTTTTTATTTCCAAGATTGGGCATCGAGGCAGACAAGTGTTACACAGCCTAAATATGCTGAAATTGTTTTCTTGCTCTGTGAACCAGAAGGTAACTGGGTGTCTGGGATAACCTTTTACTAGAGACGAGTTTCCAGGAATTTAGGCAGCCAAATATTTGTGACTTGATTTGTTTGCCACAAGCCACATCCATCCATACATGGAAACACACAGGACTGTGAACAGGTGAACTTGAGAGTCCTGTGTCAGATTACCTGGAATTACTTCTACCCCTGCCCAGCCACATTTTTGTGGTTAATTGTGTGCTAATTAAAAGTCAGCACAGCTGAGACCCAACAGCCGTCGGACTCGGAGCAGCATCGGCTGCCAGGAGGAATCTCCTGGAAATGGTACAGGACTGCTCTGGGTTTGTGGGGGAGCTGTGGGGATTTCTGGGGTGTCCCTGCCTTGCTGGGTAGCTCCCTGCCTGTGTTTAACATCACATCCACCAAAAAAAGAAAGAGGAAAGAAGGATGGTGGTGCAGAAGTGATTGATGCGCCGTTCTTGGAAGGGTTCAAGTGTTGGGTGGGGCTGGGAGCAACCTGGTCTAGTGGAAGGTTTCCCTGCCCATGGCAGGGATGGAATGAGATGGTCTTTAAGGTCCCTTCCAACCCAAACCATTCCATGATTGTAGGTTATAATAGAAATAGGGAATTGGATTTTTTTAATACTCGCTTAACATCATGGTTCAGTTCATAGCTCCTTGGAAAGTATTACAACCTTTTTACCATCCCCAAAATACTCTCCCTGATAGGAATTTTTTTCTCCAAGGATTCCTTGTTTCAACTTGTCACTCTTGCTGTAACTGCTGGGAATCCCATAAGTGACAACCTCCTTGTTTCCCAGGTTGCAATTGACTGTTAATGCTTCTTTAAATATTAAGGCTTTGACAGTAAAAGATTCATTTACTACTCAGCCCTAAGTATGCTCCTGGTCTGGCTGCATGTATTTAGTGGCATGAATATACAGCTTTTAAAATTGATCAGGAAAAGAGGTGACTGACTGAAGTGATCATCAGATCAGGTTGGAGAAACTAAATCCTGTGTGGGTGGCTCCCAGGATAGGTATTAGCCCCTACTCTTTATTTTCCATGCCTTGTGTTCATGTCAACTGTTGTTATGCAACCTTCTCACTTTATATCAGAGTGACTTTTATAACTCTTAAAAGCACTAGATATTCTCCCTAGTAATGCTTGAAATTCCTTTCTTGTGGAGCTCATCACATAATGTTGAGGAGAGGAATGGAAAGTGTAGCACAGCCTTCTGTCGTGGGGAAATGATGGGTGGGGAATTTTTAATAAGATAATGGTGGGAAAAAAAAATTCCAAAAAGTTGCTGAATTTTAGTGTGTAGGGGGTTATGTTGAGGCAAACAGATGAATTTCGGTCCTGAAAGGTCAGGTAGCTGTGCTAGGTGTGCATGAAGAACTAATTCCCAGGAATTGAGGGACTGTTTCCCTTACTTTTGACTGTATGTTATTTTCAACGTAACTTTGAATTTTGACCACGTGTTTGGTTCCTTCTCTAAATGTAAAGGCTTGAAACTTTATGGGTAACGCTTATCCCTTGTTCTGCACCTTTAGTTGTTGCATTAGAGTGAGATTTAATAATGGGGACAGGAGGAAGAGAGTGCTAAGAAGGTATTAAAAGGATTTGTCCTTAAATCAAGGTGTAAAAACTTGTGTGAATCTTAATCTGAAAGAAATGGAAAGACATTCAGGTAGCACTTGATTGCTAATTCAAAAATGGGGGTAAAGGGACAATTATTTACTGGTAGCCCCCACTAATTTTTACTGCAGCAAAAAAGGTAAGTTTTAAACTTAACTAAAACCTCCAAACTCACCCCCTGCCTCAGATTCCTGTTTTAGCATTCCCTCTCCATGGATGTTGGAGGAGAAGTGCCTTGTTTTGCTGCAGCAGCTGTACTAGGAGGGGTTGCTATGCTACATGTGCACTTGAGTTTATGTGGGGCTATTTTTAACCTGTCACAAGGTGAACTGTGCTTTTGCTGAAGTTGTCTTGCAGCAGTGCACACCAGGAATTATTTATGTTCCTGGAAGAAAGGGGTTCCAGCTTTATTTTGAGACCTCGAGCAAATTGCTGTATTTATTGCTAAAAATGGTTGGGGAGAAAAAGTGCAGTTCCTCCCAAAATCTGTGACATCAGGAGTTTGCTGTAGCTGAGCAAAATAGTATCAGCTTTTTGGTGGGTTTTTGGGGTTGTTTTCCTCTATTGAGGCTAGATATGAATAATTGATGTGGGTTAATTTAATCTATGACTGCTGTGTATGAGCAGTCCCATTCTCTCTGGGATGGGTTACATTGGTACTGAATAACATTTAGTGCAGTAAGTTCTCTTAATAATAACTTTGGTGAGCAGATGGTGGAGTTTTTGATCTGGTAAAAATAGACATCTGACTGTAGATTTTATTTCTGTGATCCAGAATCTGATTTTTTTTTTTTCTTCTTCACGTGTTTTTTTTTTATTTTACGAAGAGTTACCAAACATAAGACTGCTTTTTTTAATCTTGGTTTTGTTCATCACTGCACTACAGACTGTAGATGTTAGGGGTAGAGTAGTGTGGTATTGGTTGTGATTGTAATAGCTTTTATGTCTAAACTTGTAGACTTGCAAAGATACCTGACTTATGTTAACTAATAATAATAATTAGCTGTACTGAAAACTGTGACCTGTGTCAGCGTAGACCAAACCATATGTTTTAAATACTTGTGATGAGGTTCTGTTACTGTTAAGCCAAAGCCAAAAGGTTTGTATCAAAATCCTTCCTTGTGGAACGCTAATTCCGAGTCTTACCCTCTGTTTCAATTTCCCACAGGTGTGTATTTGCCTTTGTTATGGGAACAGAGTTTTTGTTGGAAAAGTCCTATAGCTCTGGGCTACACGAGGGGCCATTTCTCCGCCCTGGTTGCCATGGAGAACGATGGCTATGGCAATCGAGGGGCTGGTGCTAACTTGAACACTGACGATGATGTTACTGTTACTTTTCTACCCTTGGTGGACAGCGAGAGGAAACTATTGCACATTCACTTCCTTTCTGCTCAAGAGGTAAGAAGGAACCTGTGTGTGGCTGGTCCCCTTTGCCACAGCTCCTTGTTGAAGCTCTGCAGCCTTGGCACTACAGCTGTGTTTCTGCTGCTCAAAGAATTACAGGGAGTGTGCTGTTCTGTTTAATTACTACTGCTCCCTTCCCTGTCATTTGAGGTGATTCTGAAAGGTATTTTCCCACAAATTTCACGCTGATTTGTAGCTCTGTAGCTTCATTTGTCCGTTGTGAATCACAGGACATTAGAATAGAATCACAGAATATCCTGAGTTGGAAGGGACCCACAGGGATCCTTGAGTCCAACTCCTGCCTCTGCACATGACACCCCAAAATCCCACCATCTGCCTGAGAGTGTCAAATATAAGCACATGGAGAACAGGACCCAGAAATAAGGATTCTGTCACTAATGCAAGACTGAAATCTGCCTTTTTTTTTTTTTCTCCAAAGAATGCAGTACAAATATTGGCCCATAGTTACAGCACATTCTACCTTTTATTCTAATGAAACTCAACTTAATTTTTCCTTAATAACTGTGATAAAGACACGGAACCACTTAAGGGTGTTCATGGGGGAAGGGAGGGTGGGAAAACCAGAAGGAATTGCAAAAAGTGGGCATCCTGTATATACAGGAGAAAAAAATGGATGTTAAGTCTAGAGAGAGGTGTTTCTTCAGCAAGCCACAAAAGAGGAGATGTTTCATGTCAAGAACTCTTTAAGGCTCTTAAAAATGTCTTTGTAAAGCCAGAAGACTCTTTTAGGAAAGGAGGTTGCAACCAGGTGGGGGTCAGACATCAGGAAGAAGCTCTTCCCAGACATAGTGATTGGGCATTGGAAGGGACTGCCCAGGGAGGTGGGGGAGTCACCATCCCTGGAGGTGTTTAAGAAGAGACTGAATGTGGCATCAGTGCCATGGTCTGGGGTGACAAGGTGGTGTTGGGTCATGGGTTGGACTTGGTGATCTCAGAGGTCTTTTCCAACCTAGCTGATTCTGTGGCTTACTCTTCTTATATATGGTGCCTACAATAACTAACTAGATGCTCACAAATAACTGAAATATAGGAAGGCCGAATTGGAAATACAGATGTGAAAAATTGGGAAGGGAAGAACAGCTGGAGGGTATTTCCAGAGCCTTCAAACTTTGGTTGTGGGCATCAGTTTGGCTTTTGGAGAGGCGGGGGTGCAGGATTTTGGAACATCACAGGGGGGCTTCCTGGAAGCGCTGGTGGCGTGCGAAGGCTCATCCTGGGTGTTTTCTCTCGCCCTCCCCCCCAGATTGGCAACGAGGAGCAGCAGGAGAAGCTGCTCCGGGAGTGGCTGGACTGCTGCGTGACGGAAGGGGGGGTCCTGGTGGCCATGCAGAAAAGCTCCCGCCGGCGCAACCACCCGCTGGTCACGCAGATGGTGGAGAAGTGGCTCGACCGCTACCGGCAGATCCGGCCCTGCACGTCCCTGTCCGACGGCGAGGAAGACGAGGATGACGACGACGAATGATGGTGATGAATAAAGTGAAAATGAGCCGCGCAGAGTGTCTGACCCGCAGTTGTGCTGTGGCAGTGGGGTGCGGAACCACCCAGGGCTGGGGGATACGTGCTGGGGAAGGATTCTCCCGACAGCACGGAGAGAGGATAGAAGCTCATCCTGCTGCCTGGAGAGAGCGAAATGGGCTGGACTCCAGTTTGTATAAAAACACGAAAAAGAAACAAAAAACAGCTAATTTTATTATCAAGACGGAAAAAAAACAAAACCAACCCCATTTTTCTTTCTGACTGACTGTAAATCTGTCTATAAATGTACCGCATGTGGTTGTGTAAGAGGTTGTGTAATAGGAAACGTATACCAGCATCTTAATTATTGCAGAGAAATTTTTCAACTAAGGGCACTTCTGAAAGCACATTTTAGCTGGATGTCTCCTCCCTCTGAGATTCTTTTACAGTAGGACTTGGTCTTCTCCATCACCTTTTAGATACTCTGACACATTTCCCTGAAAGGCCCTTTTCTGTGAAATCTCACTAGTGCCCAGGTCAGATTGTGAGAAGGTTTTTTTTTTTTTTTTTTTTGTTTTTGTTTTTTTT